GAGAGAGAGAGAGAGAGAGAGAGAGAGAGAGAGAGAGAGAGAGAGAGAGAGAGAAACAGAGAGTCTGGCAATGCGAGAGCAATTTGTGAGACAATGCTCGGGGTAATGACGCGGGAGAATACCGAGTTTGCGAAATCATGGCTGCAGCCGTAATTGTAGAAATGCCGTTGTTACTTGAACGACGACGGTAGGGCAAATAAAGATTTGCGATGACGATTGGAGAGACGATGACTATGGCAGCGACAGTAGAGACGGAGATGGTGGCGAGAAAATGAAGGATGCTGATAATGATGAGGATGGCGATGAAGATGACGAGGACGGGAACGTTGGCGATTAATGAAACAATGACAGTATGATGATTTTAGGGCGACAGAGCTGGAACCTCGTTGCGACACGTTAGGAGAAGGAAAAAGAAAGGAATTACTAAAAGACAAACTCATATAAAAAATCATAATGAATTAAAAATAAATAAAATTATGCGCACAGGAACTGAACGATAAGTCGTAAAAAATTTCCTTGTCGATCTTTTAACTCGTGTTCAACTTTATTAGCTCTGATAACCACATCAATTGTACATAATTTGCGAATGAAATCGATAGAAAGCATATAGTTGACATTGGAGAGGCATACTGATAATTCGCACAAAAAGAACCAACTGCTCTTGTTTATGTTAGTTACACAGCTATAAGACTAAGGTGAGAACAGGAATCCTATATCAATATTAAACTACTATATACAGACAGCGGGCAGTATTAGTTACAACAAATTTATAGAAATGTGTCCAAAAATGACGTCACGTTCTACGTATTCGAGAATATTCTACCGAAACCGGAAACGAGTAATTACGTAGTAGTAACTGATTGACTAACTAACTAATTATAACAACTATTAATGTTGAGGTCGTATATAATGCCTCCATGCTATATAACTAGTGGTAAACTTCGTACATAACAGCAGACAGTTATGCTGGCGTCACGCTATTCGCATGCACCTTGATTGCGAATTGCGCGTCTGTGTTTGCTGTAACCATCACGGTTATATTACGAAGCCAAGACGAAATGCACGCGAAATTCGGGTTAATGTAACAGAGGTTCATTCACAACGATGATTAAAATCCGATGGACTACATTGTTCGATGTTAGATCAATTTTACGTTTCTATACGTTTCGGCAAATCATCTTACATTTATTACGACCGGCATCATGCAGTATTTGTTAATTGGACAGTATAGAATAGTAACAGTATCGCATACAGTTGCACAGATAATTTGCCGTGACTGGACGTAAAACGGTGTTCTAGCTAATTAATTAATTATGGAAATCGTCGAGCATCTTACACACAGAAAATGTGCACTAAACGAGAAATGTAATCGAGACGAATATGATAAAGAAAAATCCTTTCCAGTGGGATTCGTATACCTACATTGGCACCTACCGGTTTTTCATTGTCATCTCCGTCGACCTTTGCAGCTTCCTGCGGGGATAAACCATGAAAACATTCAGTCAAAACATAACGTCGGTCGCCTCCCCCTCCCCCTCTCCTCTTCCACGAAACCTCCGAAGCAGCCGGGTGTTAGCTTTAGAACTATAACCCAGGCCTGTGCGCAGAGCGAGGGGCTATAGTTCTAGAGCTACAGTGGTGTGTACGTGCGAGGAGAGAGAGAGGGGGAGGGGGACAGGAATGCATAACATCCGCTATAGCTGCTTTACGCGACATCGCGAAAACCGAAAACATCGCAAAAACCAGCTAGCATAGAGATGCGCTGCTATATACCGACTGCTTCAGCTTCCACAGCAGGATATAGCGCCTGGCTGTAAAACGTACCCGCCGTTCGTGCCAACACCCAGGCCTTATCAGTGCAGAACGCAAAATGTCGGGAAATAAAACTATATGACCCTCTAAGCATAGTTTGCGCGTGCTGTACGTAACCACATCGCAATAAACTCGCGTAAAACTTCTCTTCGAATTGCTACTTATGCTTACTAGGGTCGCCACTACTTGCCACAGAGTCGCCATTTTGTACAGGTATCGAACAACTCACGAACGCATCTAATGTGTATCGATGTGGACATGTGTAATTTGTACGTATGCATATTTTAGCGGTGTATTATGCTTTGCAATGCCTTATCGCGAATCTCTTGTTTCCTGACGACATGCAATTTTAAAGCACGAAACGCTGTTCTTTGAATCCGGGGGCTCGTTAATATTTGCTACAGACACCCCTCTGATAAATTATGCATCTCTAATTTACTTCGCCGTGGCTCTTCCCAGCTATTACATCTCTCCGGGGTTTACGTTAGATCCACGCTACCGATACTCTCCGACGATGCACAAACATTCGTTAATTTTGATTCCGTAAGTTTCGATTCCGACTTTTATTTACCAACGTTTCGGGCTTTATTGTCGTAAATAATTTCCCAAGCGTACGTTGGCATCCCCTCTGCGTGTGTGTAAAGCCTACGTACGTGTGCGTGCGAAAAATAAGAGAGAAACGCAGTCACCTCGGCGCCATCTATGAATTCGACCAGCGCCGCCATCGTTTCGTCGGCGCTCCCTTGTAAATAAACGCTCACGCAGCAGAGTCGACGAAATTTAAAACTCATATCGGCTAATTGGCTGCAGGAATCTGCCGCCCCTTTCTAGGCTATCGCGCCAAACATTTCACGACCTACTTTCGCGCTAATAAAAATAAATTCGGCATCAATAAAAAACGGGAGGGTAGGTCGTGCCGAATGTTTGCGTTAGCATAAGCGGGAATGATCAAGGGGAGCCCATCTCGCTGTTATATTAACTTTTAGGTATTTGGTGGTGCGGCACACGCACACACACACGCAAGCACGCGTACACGCACACACACACGGCACACTCCTTGCGCGCCAACACGCACGAAACGCAGCACTGCACATGCACGCACGAACGCACAACGCACACGGCACGCGCACGACGCACACGCACAACACACACATACACATACACACAGCACACACACACACACCATGCACACACACACACACACCCACATACAAGCAGAGAGAAACGACCAATACATGACAGCTACACATCTCTACTACATATGTTCGATAAAAACACTACGTTGGTCAACGTACCGCTCCGTTGCAACCGACACCTCTTTTAATTCGAGAATGATTTTAAATCTGGCCGTGCTCCAAGATTTCAGTCGTGACTAAACAGCGCGTTCCACGTGACCAGCGTGCGCGGCGAATCTCTAGTTCAATACGCGGGCGTTGTGACAACCAACCGCCTCGCTGCCAATTGGAAAGTGGCCCATAAGCAAATAAGAATGCCGGATGACATACTCTCTCTCTCTCTCTTCTCTCTCCCCTCTTTCTTTCTCTCTCTTCTCTCTCTCCTCTCTCTCTCTCTCTTTCTCTCTCCTCTCTCTCTCTCTTTCTCTCGTCTCTCTCTCTCATCTTCTCCTCTTTTTATCGCGCTCAATCCCTTCTCTCACTATCTCTCCTCGGCTTTTTTCTCTCTTCAGCTCTCCCCCCCTCTCTCTCTCTCTCTCGCGATATATTATATATAATATATCTATCATTATATATATATCTGTCTATACATCTCTGCCTCTTTCCTCTCCTCCTTTCTTGCTCAATACCCGGGCATCTCTCCTCTCTCATCTCTCGATATATATATATATATATATATATATATATATATATTATATCTGTCATACATCTCCTCGCCTTTCCCTCTCCTCTTTCTTTGCCTCAATAAGCCCGGCCGCCCATCTCTCTCCTTTCTCCTCTTCCTCTCTCCTCCTCTCCCCTCTCTTCTCTTCTCTCTCTCCTCTTCTCTCTCTCTTCTCTCTCTCTTCTGCTCTCTTTCTCCTCTCTCCTCTCTCTCTCCTCTTTCCCTCTCTTTCTCTCTCTCTTCCCCCCTCTCTCTCTGTCTCTCTCCTCCTACTCTTTCGCC